CCCCCTCCTCCCACATTCACCCCCGCACCAGCCCCCGAGCCTGTACCGCAGCACGACCAGAGCGACCTGTTCGGCGTGCCCACCGCCAACGGCGGGCCCAAGAAGACGGCCGAGATCATGAACCTCTTCGGCTCGCACACGGCGGCGGTCAATGCGCTCAACTCTGCCCCGTCAGCTCCACCCGCGAACGACTACTTCGGGGGCGGCGGGGGCTTTCGGGGCGAGCCGTCTGCTAAAAACAAACAGAAAAAAAACAGGGAATGTCGAAAAATTGAGAAAAAAGAAAAACCGGTGTACGCTTGAATTTAAAGTAAAGTACCCCTCGGGACAGCCCCGTCGTCGCCCCCGCCCGCCCACTTGCATGCACTAACCACTAACACGACTCTCCAGGTTCAAGCCGCCAGACGCGTGCTACATCGAGCTGATGCGCTTCAGGGTGCGCCCGCCCAGGAACAGGGAGCTGCCCCTGCAGCTCAAGACCACCATGTGTGTCACGGGCAACAAGGTACGTCCGGCGTGGGGACTACTAAACGCATGGGGTGCTTTGAGACGCTCACGGCTTCTTGTCGGGCAGCTTTAACAAAGGTTTCCTTCACTTTACGGCACACTCGACACACAAGCTGTCCCCCACTCTGACCGCCCCCCTCGCGGCTGTCCGCAGGTCGAGCTCCGGGCGAACGTCCTAGTTCCAGGATTCTCCAGCCGGAAGTACGGACAAATTCCCTGCGAAGACATCTCCATTCGCTTCCTGATTCCGGAGTGCTGGATATACCTGTTCCGGGTAGAGAAGCACTTCCGCTACGGGTCCGTGGTCCGTCAAGTCCACCCACCGAAGGTACGTCATACTGCAGGCGCAGGCAGCGGACTCCAAGGAAGTTTGCCCCCCAGAAATTAATTTACTAAAAAATCGATGAAATTTTTCAAGAAAATATTTGAAGATTCAAAGAAATGTTGAGGTTTTTAAACATAACCATTGACAAGTTTTTAAATACTCAATACACTTAATAATACAACTGCATTTCAATGGTCCCCTTTAATTTTCAATTAGAAATTTTAGTCTATACGTGTTCAGCACTTGTCTTGAACGTGACCTCCGATGTCCGCAGAGCCGGCAAGGTGAAGGGCATCGAGCGCTTCCTCGGCACCGTGGACACCATGGAGCCGTCGCTTCTCGAGGTCACCTCCGGCCAGGCCAAGTACGAGCACCAGCACCGGTCCATCGTGTGGAGGGTGGCTCGCCTGCCCAAGGAGGGTCAAGGTAAGTAGTGCGGGCTGCAGCTGGTGCGTCGTCCCGGCCCTTCCCTAACCACCTGACGTCTCTCCATCTGCAGGTGCCTACACGACGCACACCCGTATCTTTGCGTTCATTTTGGCGATACCCGACTCTGGTGTCAGCGCCGCAGGCCTAGCTAGATGTATGCCAGGCGCGTCGCAGCGCAACAGTGTTTCGTGAGATATCGCGAAGCCTGTTACGCGAGACGTGGTCTGGCGTACATCTACATAGTGTACTTCGTTGATGTGGTTAATTAAAGAGGTTTTCGCACCTTCACCATAGTACATGATTTTCTTGGAGCAGGTTCCGAAGGGACACTGCAGACCATTTTTAATCCTTATCGTGTCTCTGTATTTTGGGGCACTCTCGCCACTACACCCTGGGGCAGGTTCACCACGTTGTTCTGCTCCAGCCGAACAGAACCCAGGGTGGAGGTGAGGTTTCGTATGTCGCAAGGCCAAATCGATGCCACTGGTGTTGCCAGCCTTCAAGGCAGACAAGAGCTCTTTCTCTGCTCCCATGAGTGGTAGATGTGATTTCAATTCAGATTCGCAGGACCAGTCACTGGAAAAGTCATAAATCATGATGTACTTTAATGCATCTGCACAGATTGAATGCCAATGTTATCATTTCTGATGGAATTAGGAAAAAAAGTGTACTCACGAAATACAGGTACACCTCTTGCGGACCAGCATGCCTTGGAGAACCCACGACTTACACACAAAGTTCATTGCTTCGTTATAATTAATTCCAGTGTTCACGCCCCTGTGAATTGTGTATGGCAGCAAGTATAGGATATCGCCTGGCTTCTGGACAATCTGTTGGCAAATATGTACAAGGTGAGGCCAATGAATTGGACACCTAACGGATACAATTTTGTGCAGCAGTCAGTTATATGAGAAAAGTGTTGGCCACAGCAGTTACACTGGAACTCACAGTAAACACGGGTATGCCAGCTTGCTGTACCCTCCGAGGATCTAACCACAGTTTATTGTGTTCAAGGAAACAGTTTAGGTTTTTAAATATATCAGTCAACGGGAGCGTTAAGACGAACTCTACAAAAGCCTTATAATACCGGGGTGGGATACAGAACCTGATGACGAATGTAAGTAAAAGCATTAGCAACGGATAAGGCCAGAAACAGGAACATAACAACAAGAACGAAACATTCCACACGTTGGGTTTCGCAGCATAATGCCGGTTTATGGCGCAAAATTTCATATCTTCAGTGTGACAGTTAAAGGTAGAATTCTCTAAACCAATGTAGACCGTTGGCGTGTTGATGCCGTCGACTGTTTTCTTACTATTGAGCAGGTGAAGGTTGTGCTTCATTGCTGCCATTGAGGCCCCAGCGGTGGTATGCAGAGGCTCCTGAAGCTTGACATTCTGAACAGACAGCACGTGTATGTTTTTGTCTTCCAGTGTGGACAGCAGTTTATTGAGGTATTTCCCCATCGCATTGGCACCATTCCTGTAGCAACGCATGTATATGAAATGTGAGTTGAGGACAGTAATGATGCCCTTTGTGCGACATGACCATAGCTAGCTTCGAGTGTGAATAGCGAACAACTGCGTTAAACGAAGATTACAGTCTCGATTCATAACTTACAGGAAAGTTTCTTCTGCAGCTTGGCACGAATCATCAAGAATCCATTTCTGGACCGTACTCTGCAGCCTCTCTAGCTTTCGCCGAGACGTTTCTTTGTGGATGGGATCGATGAAAAAAACAGATTCCTGGATGATGGTTACCCTCAGGAGCCAATCCGGGTGGAAAACATTCAACAGACTATCTTTGGCCAGTGCCTCCTTGATGGTGATCACATTCCTCCTGCCATCACCTGCTGTCCACGTCTTGAGCCTCGCCTGAGAGGCACATGCAAAATCCAAACAAAAAGCAACGGTAGTAAAAACATGAAAACGAAAGTTACAGAAACGATAGTGATGGAGAAGCACCATACTTACAATAAATACTCCCTCCTTCGCAACTGCGTCGACGACCTCGTCCATCAGATCACCCGGGTTCGTGTACTCGTCCTCGGTCATTTCATACACCATGACACCCCCCTCCCTCGTGCCTGACCGAGCAGCCATTTCAATACTGCAAAAATTGAAACACACATGAGCAATAAGAAAATCATGGTTTGGATAAAACATGACATAGCTAGCTAGAACCGAAACGACTGAACACGGACTGACAGAGAATACCGTCAAAGTGTCTAATTCCGGACCAGCAGGGTAAATCCGGACACTGCTTTTTTGCTTTTTTACAGCAAATTTCACAGTGTAGGTTAATAATTTAGATAGATACTTTTCCGGGAGGCTCTGGAGATTTAAATAGTTAGTAGTTTCATATTTTAGAGCCGCCCAGAGCAGTGCAATTTGAATAATAGGACCCGACCAGTACACACACTGTGAAGCGGTACTTCAATGCGTGTGCCGCATAGCACCAATGCTAGCCGCTGTCACTAGATACATCTTTAACGTCACTACGCTGAAGTCGAAAATTTTTCATATCCTGCGGACTTTGGCGCGTCATATTGATTGTGCGGTATGTCACTCGATCTCTCACTTACAAATCTTAGTTAAAAATGCACTAAATTTTCAATTTTGACAAAGTCCTGTGAGGTAAAGATTGTTGTACACATTCTTATGGCGTATTTTGCGAAGCCAATGTCCTTCTACTGAAATAGCACTGACTTTTGCAGAAGTTGCTTAACTTCTGAAATGGGCCAATTTTGCCTCGAAAATTTCAATATCACTCTGGTTCCGCAGTTACGGGTTAAGTTGGTGTGTACTGGCACGCAGCTGCAGTGCAGCATTGGCATATCGACCTGTTCAATTGCCATTTATTAGCAAAAATAGGGACTGTCCGGATTTGCCCCGGCTTCGGGTTTAAATCCGGACGGTTTTTCAGAGGCTTGTGCAGGTGAACTGGCGCAAAGAAAATTACCTCTCCAGATGGAAAATATGTATCTTGGCGCCTAGTTTCTAGAATCCGCTGGAATTTTTCATACCCCTACCGGTTTTAGAAATATTGAGGAAAAACGGTCAAATTTGTCCGGAATATGAC